ATGCCAAAACATATTTACCACTGAAGACCAGTCTCAGCATTGGAGATAATTTCTCAGGTTGATCTTGCCAACCAAATCGATCCCTAAATATACTCTTCAAATGTCTGCTGGTCTAACATACTGAAGCTTTGTTGTATTGTTTCCGATTCTATTTACGTCTCCTCACTCTATGTTGTGCAAATCTCAGAAGTCTTGGGCTCCTTTGCCATGCCAACTCTCACCATTTAGGAAAGACTTGCACTTTCTGATTCTCTAGAAATTCTGCCATCACTGAGACTCTTGTGGGAGGCTGAGATGTTTATCCTTTTATTTTATTTTATTTCATTTCATTTTATTCAGTACTGGGGATTGAACCCATGCTCTTCACATTGAGCTGCATCATCAGCCCTATTTATTTATTTACTTTAATTTGGGAGCAGGGTCTCCCTAAGACATTAAATTACATAGGCTGGGCTCTAACTTAGGCTCCTCCTGTTTCCACTTCCTACAGTGCTGGGATTACAGGCCTGCAACACCACATTTCTGGTAACCACTTTCTTTTGTTTCCCCTCACACCTATCTCTTTCATAACAGCTTCAGGGATACTGTCCCTGAAAACTTCCTATTCCTTCTCCCAGGGAAAGCGTGTGACTCCTGAAGGCTGGCTACTTTCTTGGCCATGAGGGCTGAGACCTCCAGGTGGGAAGCCGTGAGTCCTCTCTCTCATGAAAGCATTGCAAAGAAGGCCTCATACTCAGTTTTCCAAGCAAGGGTAAAGCAGATAGCCTGAGAATCGAATGACTATCGAACTGAAAAAATATTTATTATGAAAGGAAAGCTAAATGTTTCCAGGAAAATAACTTTTTTAAATGAATATGCTTTTAAAAAATAAATCAAACCAAATGAATGTTTCTGGAGACTCTCTGGAGCCCAGACCCTGGGAAGAACTAAAAGCAATCAATGAGGAGTCCTCCATAATCGCCAAGTCTGAGACTTCAGAAAAACAACCAGGAGAAGCAACCTTGATCGAGAGCATTCTCCCTGGGCCCTGTGGCCATGCTTTTGTTTCTAGAAATAAGGCAAGTGGTAATCCAAAAAGATGGGAGGAAAGCCCTTCAGTGCCACTTTCCCTCTGTATGAGAGGTGAGTGACAGCCAGGGAATCAGAAACTGGCCAAGTCACGTGACTCAACATCTCATCCCTGACTGAAGTTAAGCCAGTCCCGAGGAGGAAGATGCAGGTAAGACAATTTAAGCTCACCTAGAGGGCAGCCTGGAGATGGGACAATCATGAGCAGCTAGCCCATATGCCATGTTCTCTTCCTAAATCAACACACCACGCTCTGTGGCTCAAAAGAAGTTAATGGTTTTACTTCTAAATTATAGGCATGGTTAATTGCACTTTAGAGAGTAGGTGGTGTTTACATTGCACTGGGTTCTTTATTTTAGAAACAGTAATGGCATGTGTTCATGCATATAGTGTAAGCTCCCTGTAAAGGTTTTACTAACAGCAGGCTGAGACTGTGCCCCCAGATAGATCTCAAGCTCTCTACAAGGCTCTAGGAATATCAGGAAAAGCCCCAGGACCTGATGAATCCTTTCTCTCCACTCCTGCCCAGAGGCTGAAATGGCCATCATGAAAATGCTTCTGATGGAGGAATAGAATTCACTGTGAGCAGCAAGAGAATAAGACCGTTGTGGACCATTTAGCATACACTGCTCTACCAACTGAGACACTAGAGGAAGTTCTGGCTCACAGAGTAAAGCCAGAATGTTGCTGCTGAGCACGCTGAGGGAGTCAGCACACTTGCCATGTGTACAGACCCTGAAATTAGAGGAACAAGGGCTAGAATCTGGCACCCTCATCCATCACGGTATTTAACCTCCCTCAGTTACACTTATCCCATCCTTAAAATGAAGTACTTTCATCACTTTTCCATTGCTGGGATAAAATCTCCAACACCCACAGTGTAAAGGAGGGGTGGGGTTTCAGTCCATGGTCAACTGGCTTTAAGGAGAAAATGACATGGCAGAAGGACCTGGTAGAAGAAAGCTCGTGTCACGGTGGCCAGGAAAGAGAGAGAGAAGGAAGGAGCCCCAGGGCAGGATACTCCTCCCCAGGCTCACCACGAGTGACTCAGTCCTTCCAAGCCCATGCCACCAGTGATACTCTTCTTCCAGGCCCACTCCTAACAACACTGCTAACAGCACGTGGAGGGGTTAATGGATCAGTGGTTCAGTCCACCAATGAGTTTAGTACCCCATAAGCCTCTGCAAACACGGGACCTGTGGGTACATTCTAGCTCTAAAACACAACATGAGCATTCCTAAACTTAATCCCCAGGGTAAAAGATACCCATCAGCCACGTAGTCCACCCAAATAAGATGTTCAGTGAATGGGCCAAAGAAGCTAGACTTCTTCCATGACTTAGAAAGAAAGGACAGCAGGATGGAAAGACACCAGACAGGCTGCATAGCCCTCATGCACTCTCAGGACCAGCCACAGACCCAGCAGGCCCCACTGCAAGTGAAAACCCAGGGTCCCTTTTACATATTTATTTTTTCTTCAAGTCCTTTAGTTTTATTGCTTTGGTTTGGTTTGGTTCGGTTTGGGGTTTTTTGGTGGAACCAGGGATTGAGCTCAGTAGTTTTTAATTTAAAAAATTATAAATTTTAATTGGCACCTAATGTATGGGGCTCAGTAGAAGACTTCAATATGTGTCTACACTGTGCAATGATCGGATCAGTAATTCATAAGTCCTCATGACTGATTATCAATCTTACTGAGCTATAGAACATCAGATGTTATTCCTCTTACTCAGCTGCACCCTCGACCTCCTCTCTCCTGCTCCCCATGCCACCCTTTCTGCCCCTGGCAACCAAGGTATTATTCTAGTCTATACTTCTATTAGGTCTACTCTTTAGTTTCTAACAATAAACATGATTATGCGCTATTTATCTTTCTGTGCCTGACTTATTTTACATCAACATGATGGCCTCAGGTTCCATCCACATTGCCATAAACACCTACTAAAAACTTTTTAGAAGGCCATCCAAATAGCTCAGTGGATTAAAGCACCTGGAAGCAGGCACAGGGGCCAGGGGGTTCGATCCCCGGGCCTGCCATGCCAGCCCAGCCCCCCGGGATGCAATGAGATAGCAAGTGAGACTGGGCCTGGTGGCATACATCTGTAATCCCAGCACTTGGAAGACTGTAAATAGGCGGATCACTACAAGTCCAGTCTAGTAGTAGGACCCTGAAGACCCTGTAGACCCTTCCCTAAAATACCGAAAAAAAGAAAAAGTATTTTAAGGAATTTTAAGGTGGTTATGGGAGAGCATTAAGCAAAATGCCTGCTCCTCTAAGGAGGGGGCCTGTGCCGCCGTACAAGCGGCCCAACCATGAAGACAGCTCTCGCTGGTCCTCCTTCCTGGACCATAGTCCTGTTTTTTTTCAGGGTATAGCTCAATGATTAACACTTGCAAGTGACAAGAAAAAAAGCACACCACTCATCTGACCACTGTAAGTCCCTATTTCTGCCCCAATACCTCCAGAGAAGAACAGTGGCTGACAGATGAGCACATCTTTAGGAGAAAAGATAAAGGAAAGAAAAACGTGTGTAAGTGAACATTATTTATAACTACGCATGAAGACAGCAAGTAGAAACTGGTCTCCTTTGATTTATATAAAGGGTTACTAAGAGATCTTTCATTTCTGTCTCTTTTCCTTTCTACCTGAGTTGCTTCCTGGAATATCAAGTTATGCAAGGGCCTTCCCTATGTTTCAAGTTCTTTTCTCAAAATAAGAATGATCTCTGTAATTAGAATATCAGCAAAAGCACCAGTATCATTAAAAAGAATCTAAAAACATAGGTGCTTTCATGTCATAATTACATATTGAGTTTTTCTTCCCTCCTCCTTAGAAGCAGAACTTGCAAAACAAACAACTATGTATCCACTTTCTTAAATAAATAATTGCTCCAAGAAGATAGCCCTGGAAGGATCACTACCTCTAACTCTCGCGCACTTTTTTATCTGCTGGTTGGAGGACTGTGTGACTGTTAAAGAAATTGCTCTTAAATGTATAAAACACATAGGAGAATTTTTGAAAAATCCCTTATTATTCATTAAAGCATTTTAGGGCCTCATTAATTCAGATGGGATAATCAGTTGTTGATTAGCCAGGTTGTTAAGCATCCATTGTCAGATGTGATGGGGTGTAAGAAATTACATTCTGTAACCACCAAAGAGTCACCTGAATGCCATTAACACCTCATCAAGTGAGGCAGTATCTTCTGGGGATAAATTAGTCAGGTTTATTCTCTAGTCTTTTCTTCCCTCTTCCAAATTTCCTTGTGTTGCAAAGCATTCCTCACCCACTTTAGTTTCTTTTACCGAGCTAAGGTCTAGAACTCTGTCCAGAGTGATTTATAAAAGCTTATAAATGACAAGGTAGTCATATATATGTTGTAGTGTGTGTGTGTGTGTGTGTGTGTGTGTGTGTGTGTACTTGGTTTGGCTTTGTTTGGTTTCACAGCTGATAGCTAGAGCTTCCTTCACACTCTCACCCTTTATGTCGCAGGATTTGGATCATGAAGGGAATCCTTCAGCCAGGGCTCCGAGGATCCACTTCCTTCCTTTCCAAATCTTGACTGACTGAGAGTCATTTAACAGCAATGAGCATGGTGAGAAAAGTCCCTGGATTAGAGGTTGGAAAAAGTGATTCAGAGTCCTGGTTCTGTTTGCAGAAAGGAAGTGTGCGTCACTAGTAACCTGCTTTCCACACCAGCACATCGTTTCATCTCCCTGGCTGTTTGTAATTTATTTTCTCTCTCTTTGACAACAAAGCAACTTTAATATTTACCCTTGGTATCATAAAAGGAATTCATAATGTATTTCTACCAAAAAAGCTAAGTCCCCTATTCTCCAAGGAGCTTCGGTCTCAAAGGAACAGAGGGCTCCCAAGATTGTCAAGGACCCTCCTCCAACCCACCTCCAGTCAAGGGGGCCTGTTTTACTCACGGAACTGCTCCATGTCATCAGTGCTATTAGACTCGGGCATGGCTGTGATGGTCACCAGTGGACATGGATTCCCACCCAGTGTCTGGCAGAGACTTTCCTGCCGGAAGTAGATTTGCCTGGGATTGATACTTTTTTCCAGGATCTCAAGGTGAGTCTAGAGCAGAGATAAAGCAAGAATGTATATTATTAATATTTTATATAAGAATAAGAGCAAACAGCAATAACAACTCACCTTGACTAAATCTTTATGGTTTATAAGTATTTTTGTTACTTTGACCTGTGTGATGTGTATTAGACATTGAGTAATTAAAAAGGGGCTACTCAGTCAGGTTGGTGGCATATTCTTGTAATCACAGCACTCCCTCAGCTGGGGCAGAAAGATCCCAAGCTCAAGCTCATCCTATGCAAGTTAGGAACTTGGCAAAATCCCGTCTCAAAATTTATAAATAAATAAAAGAAAGCAAAAGAAGGCCTAGCGAGGCAGCTCATTGTGAAAGCCCTTCGTTCAATCCCCAGTATTGTAAAACATAAATTAACAAAAATAGTGCCCATTCCTACTGCCTAGAAGTTCAGCAAGGTTAAGCAGGGAGCATCGTTCCTGCCTAATAAAAGATGTAGTTACAACTTGCGCTGGAAGTAAAGAGCCAGGACACCAAGCACACTGCCCAGGGTCAAGTCCATACCGTGTGTGGCGGGTACCGTGAAGACAGAGCACAGCGGAAGTGCTGTGGAGCTGAGACAACTTCAGCAGCACAGAGTACAGCAGGACCAAGCAAAAGGAGAGCTGTAAACACACTGCAGGAAATAAAAACCAACTGAACCCGGAGATGGCTGCATTAAGACAATGACCATCGACTGCCTTACCATATTTCCTCACTGAAATACTCTCTAAAAACATAGAATAATGCAAAAAAAAAAAAAAAATGGAATTGCCATTGAAACCAAGACATCTGTTTAGCAATCCTGCAGACCTCTTAAGATATTTTCCCTCACTAGAACACTGAAATTATCCATAAACAAGCTAGAGATTTCCCTGCAGCCCCTCTGCAGACTCAATCACAGCTGCCTGCTTATGGTGGCTTCGGGAACTGGAGAGGAGGCGCCGTGAACCTTCTGCAGCAGGAAAGCATCAGCACCACAGAGATTATCCTGCCAGCTCACGATCTCAAGTTTTCAGCGAGGTGCTAATGAGGCCAAGGAGAAGCTCCTCGCACGTTGTTCCTCACCAATGACAATGGAGGAGCCTGCTACCTAACTGTGACAAACAGAAACAGATACAAATCTTATGGAAGTATTTATAAAACACTCTTAATTATCTTATTTTAAAAGAGAGTGGTGTCCTCAAAAGACAGAGGAAGTGTTTACATGTGGGAAAGATTTACTACAGATGTAGTGAGAATTGTTAGCCCTGAAGATGTCCATGTTCTCCACTTTGGAACCAAAGAATACAGATGCTGCATGGCCACAAATACTCTTTCTCAAAGGTCTGCTTGAGGAGCAGAGAACATTCTGCATTCTGCAGTTAGAGCCAATCCAAGCACAAGTAATTAAAAGCAGAGACCTTTTCCTGACTGCAAAGAACCAAAGAGATGGCAGCAAGAAGATTCGGCCTACCTTGCTGGCTTTGAACATGATTAATAAAGGCAGGCAGGGGCCTTCTAGAAGCTGAAAATGACAAGGAAGTGGATATCAACACACACACACACACACACACACACACACACCCCACAGAAGAAGCACAGTCCAAAAGCTTTGTCTTTGTACATTGAGATCTATGCCAAACTTCTACCCTGAGAAGCTATAAAGTGAAACAAGGAAAGAAGATAAGCAACTAAGCCACTAAGTTGGTGACATATCACAGCAGTAATAGAAAACCAATACATCAAGAATCAAGGAAAAGAATATCCTAAGTAAAAATTCAGCATTCAGATAGGAATACCTGAAATCCATCTTATTTTTAATAAGATATTTAAGTTGTAGGGAGAAACAAAAAGTGCAAGGAAAGAAAAAAGTGCCAGATGGTTCTGTGGCCTTTCCTCTAGCCTTAGATGCAGTGGAAAATTTGACCTAGAGTCATATACTTTTGACATTGAGAACCTAGATAATCTACAGCCTTACAGCTTCTTGGCCACATTACCATGGTTGTATTATTGCCCTGCTCAATGGCACAACATGATTGTTCTGGAAAATGCTTATCCAGGAACACCATAAAACCTTCAAGTCCCAATTGATGCAAAACTCTTTGAACTTCCCTCCTCAACATCTTTGCCTTTTATTATGCACCAATCCTAAACCCTTATACAAGGATTCTTATGCCATCCTATCAGGTCTCTGCCTTAAAATGCCTGCCTTTAGGGAGAATTACAATCCCTGATTTGAAATTATACTACAAAGCTACTCTGAGAAAAACAACATGTTACTGACAATAAACAGTTCCAAGAATCAAAAGAGCAGATTAGAAGCTGCAGAAACAACTCCAAAAACATTCAGCTATCTTATCTTTGACAAAGGGGCAAAACAAGTACACTGGAAGAAAGATAGCCTCCTTAGTAAATGGTGCTGGAAAAACTGGCTTTCCACATGCAGAAGACTAAAACTATGTTATCACCATGCACTAAAGTCAATATGGATCGAAGGTCTAAATACTGTAGTAGAAATACTAAATATTCTGGAAGGGAGAATATCCAGAATTCTTGAAGACATAGGTGTAGGCAAAGATGTCATGAATACAACCCTTATCTCACAGGAAATACTACAAAGAATCAACAACTGGGATCTCACCCTATTAGAAATGTTTTTCATAGCAAAAGAAGTCACCAACAGAATCAAAAGACAACCTACAGGTTGGGAAAAAAATTTATCCAGTTGTTCCTCAGGCAAAGGACTCTGATCTATAACATATAAAGAACTGAAAAAAATCAAAGACCCCAAACTTAAAGACACAATCCAAAAATGGGCATCTGAGTTGAATACATACTTCTCAGATGAAAAAAATAGAAATACTAAATAAATATATGAACAAAGTTCATCACTGGTCATTGGAGAAATACAAATTAAGACAATGCTGAAATTTCATCTTACTCCAGAAAAAAAAGGCTATTATCAGGAAATCAACCAATAATAAATGCTGTTAGGACATTGAAAACAAACAAACAAATATAACAAACAAACAAACACAAATGAACACTTCTCCACTGTTGCTAGGAGAGTAGTATGGTACAACCACTATGGAAACCAGTGTGGAGATTCCTCAAAACCTAGGATTACAGGGCTAAGAAGATAGCTCAGTGTCATAAGTGCCTGCCTGGCAAATACAAAGTCCTGAGTTCAATCCCCAAAACAAAACAAAACAAAACAAAGCAATAAAACCTGGGATTAGAGCCCAGTCCTAGCCCAGGTCTGGTGAGTGTGTGGGAGAGCTTCCTGCTACCCTGCACCTGCGGGACCTACTACTGGTCCCAGCCCAGGCGCAGAGTGCGTGAGACCCTCTTCCACCCCCTGGGGACGTCCCCACCACTCCACAGCACCTCCCCCACCCCGTCCACCAGTTCACCAAGTAGGAATTTCTGCTACATTCCAGGAACACCCAGAGCCAGTCCTAGCCCAGGCCCGGTGAGTGTGTGGGAGAGCTTCCTGCTACCCTGCACCTGCGGGACCTATTACTGGTCCCAGCCCAGGCACAGCATGGGTGAGACCCTCTTCCACCCCCTTGGGAGTCCCCCAACACTCCGCAGCACCTCCCCCACCCTGCCCACCCTGTAGGAAATTCTGCCGCATTCCAGGAACACCCAGACCCATTCCTAGCCCAGGCCCGGTGCAAGTGTGGAAGAGCTGCCCCTCCCGCCTACTCTACCTTGTCCCCTCCAGGCTCAGCTCAGGCCTTGCAAACAGGCCTGGGGTGTAACCCTGCAGCTGCAATCCCTGCAGAAAGTGTAGAGGATAGAACCACCCAGCTAGTCCAAGAGCAGATAATATTGCCAGAGGGGCACAATAAGTTCACCCCCAAGGGCAGCAGCAGGAAGGAGCTGAGGACAGCAACCAGACCCAAGACAGACACAGCTGGATAAATCCAAACTTTGTAGATCGGCAACTGAACTTCAGTACATGCTAAGGTTATAACTGCAATGAAGATCTACAACAAAGTACAGAAGACATTGCAATGCAAAATGATAAGAAGGAACAAAATGCAACCTCAGAACCCAACCCCACCCGTAACAAGTGCAGAGGACACTAACACAGAACAAATTGGGAATCACACAGCTGAAAGCAATGAATCAACGGCTTCTGAAATAAAAAAACAGCTGCAGAATGTATAGAGGAACTCAGATTGGAAATAAAAAAAGAAATGCCTGAATCAATAACATCTGCAGTACATAATCAAATGCAGAAACACATGGAGGAAAACCAATGCCCACACAGAACAAGAGAGGAAGACCCTAGCTCAGCTCAAATGCATGAATTAATAGTGTCAATAGTAAATAAGCAACAGCAGAAAGATATAGAAGACCTCAGAGTGCAATTCTTTTCTGAAATAAAAAAAGAATTCTCAGAACTCATAGCATTTGAAGTAAAGAAACAACTACAGAAACATAGGGAGGAAATCCAATCTGAAAAAAACACTGCAGTAAAAGAATTTATAACTGCTTCTAAAGAAGACATCGATAAAAAAAAATAGAGGAAATTAGAAAAATGACAGATTCCTTGAATGAGCAATACAGGAAAGAAATAGATCGCATGAAGCAGAGTCAAAGAGATATAGAGGAAATTAAACTCTCAATCACAAGCTTGCAAAACCGTTTAAGTGAATGTGAAGACAGAGTTTCAGATCTTGAACATGCTGGTGTGGCTCGTAAAAAGGTAAGAAAGAATCTTTTAAAAACAACGAGGATGCAGGAAAGAATAATCCATCACCTGCAAGATGATGCAAAGATGAACAATGTGAGACTAATAGGCATCAATGAGAAAGAAGGAGTAAATACAAATGACATTAAAAAAATATGGGCAGAAGTAATAGCAGAAAACTTCCCAAATATGAGGAAACAATCTGACATTCAGGTAACCGAAGCATACAGACTGTCAAATAACCTCAACCCAATGAAAAACACACCGAGACATATAATAGTCAAGATCCCAGAAATTCAGCACAAGAATAAT